TGTATTCTCAGGTCAACATTAGACAGGTACCTAGCGAATCTTTTGGAGAAGACGGAGCGTACAGAAGACTCGTCTCTACTTTCGTTCATATATACTACGTATTACAAATGTACAACTTTACTTTTGAACAAAATGTAAACTTTGATATGTAATGTAATGGTTGTTTACTTTGCTTACTATGTACATTGGATTTGATACTCAACTTGGAGTCAACCCCGGAGACGTTTCCGCCTTTGGTTTTCGGGGTGTGACAGGATTGTCCTCAACAATTGCTTAATCATTTTAGTCATATCGAGTTCTCTTTCTTTTTCCCTCTTGATGCCCTAGGCATTTGGAAAATTTAGAATGGATGAATATTATAGCACATATAATCGATCCTATATCCAAAGCATATGGGACACAATTCATGATGTCTCACATTAAGACATGATACTTGCCCAGTCTATTGCTATAATATTTCTATTTCCCATGTTCTCACAATTCGGACTATGAAGAGGGATGTCATAATCATAATCAAATTTTGAGAACGCAATTAACATTTCCATATATAGAATTTCCTTACGTTGAACCATTCCAACATAGCATTCATATATATACTTGACTGAATTTGATTAAAATCCCAATGTAAACTTTTAGAATTGGAATGAACTGTAATTTCCTCTCCCTTAATTATAGCAAAACAACTTTTCATACTCTGCAACTTTTCAAATTGAAACTTTTGTTTTCTATAATTAACATTGCTAACTTGAAACACTTAACATATTAATCATGCTCCCACTAACATGATAATTATATCCTTATTAGCATAACACTTATGCTCCTACTTGCTTTGACATGTATCCAGAAATCAAATGGACTTCTAGAAATCAATACTTATTGACTTTCTTACCAAAGTTCGGATTTCTGATACAAGATGCTTTGATAAGACTTTATCTAAGCTTCCCAAAACCATACACCTTTCCTTAGATAGCACACATGTGTGTCTAAACAATTTTAGAACTATGAAGAGGGATGCCGTAATCATAGTCTCAATTGTTTAGACCTTTTCCATTTCTCACAATTCGAACTATGAAGAGGGATGTCGTAATCATAATCGAATTTGAGAAATGCAAATATCATAATTGCTAACTATTTAAAATCTACTTAGTGAAAGTGTTTCCTCACAATCATGGTGTATGTGTTCCTATCCATGTGATTTTGTTAAAACCATAATCACAAGACAAGGTTAGTAACAAATCCAAACTCATATGGACTGAACTTGTTCAATCTTAATTTCTTGCCACCTGGTAGCACAAGGCCTACCATTGCTTCCAGGTTGTTATGCAAACAATTAAGAACTCATAGAAGTCACATACATAATCAATTTCAACTGGAATGGGCATAGAAATAAGAATATATCAACACGATAGGGTACAAACCTCAAGTAGTGTGCTAGTGATAAACAATAGGTTTTATTCTTGATTAGTTCTTGAAACTTTTTCAAGATCTTTAAGACTCCCACTGACCTTTTGACATATAAGATTATCTTTATCAAGAACCATTACTTGAAAAAACAAGTATTCAAGAGTTAGTGCGGATTCTTATCAAAATAAACACTTCACACAATTGGTCTTAGTTGGTCTTTGTTTTATCCAAAACATCACAACTTACCAATTTTCAAATGTACAAAAGTTAGAAACTTTTCACTCTACATTTGAAAAGTGTTATAAACCATTCTTAATATTATATCACTCAAGGCTCGATTTTGGAGTATGACTCTAAGGCTCGATTTTTGGAATGAAGTAGGATTCATCTTTTGATTTAACCATTTTAACAATTCACGATTCCTCTTCTTAGCCATACAAATGCACTAAGATGTCCTTAGATGATCAATTCTGATATGGTTTCATAATCACTATGATAATCATAACACGATATACTCAAGTACTCTCCCATGTCTTCAGATTGGAGAAACTTTTATCATTCTGCCTAATTTGATTCTTCTGATTCATTCTGCCTTACATTGAAACTTTTCCAATGTTTCAGAATTACACTTAAACTTAGCATAACCATATTTACTAAGCTTTAGTAAACAATAAAAAATAGTCTTATTTTTCTTTGTGGTGGACCTGATCAATGCATAACCAAGTATACCCGATCCCCTAGTCCTTTACTTGACTCACATATACATGTGAACAAGGAATTAGTCTTAATTTCCTAAAGATGAAGTTCTCATTCATCGTACAATACAAGGTACATGATTCCAAGTTTCTATCCAACTAAAACTTGGTTGACTAGAATCTTTCTTTATTTAGTAAATTATGACACTATGACAAACGAAAGAATCAAATATATCTTCCAATATTGCCTATTAATGGAAACATATAAACAACAGTTTTCACAAATGCCATTATAAGGATACTTAAAATAAAATAAAATCAAGATTTTTCTATGTATTTAAAATATCGGAAAAACTTTTCCTTACAATGCAAATACAAGTGAAAACATGTTGTTATCGATTCCTAAGCAATATATCATAACTCTTAAGCAGCAGCTCAAAATTCTGATCATCGAACCATGCGAATGAAATCTATGTCTTCACGATCAGAACAGCCTACTCTTCCTTTAAGTTTCCTTTGATTCTAAACATCAATATGTAACTAGATTACATAATTTATTAAGAATATCCAAATTGTAAAGTCGAAAATATTGTAATATGTCAAAATCTATGTAGAGATAGTTTCGTTAGTTTTGTTATGTTTTTACTAAGGCACAATTGTTATGAATTTGAATGTTTAGCCCTTTGTATTTTTTTTACTTTCAATTCTCCTCTGAATAGGAGTTGTACTTAGAGTTTAGATATGAGTTTTTCCAATTCTTTGTCTGTAACACTCTTCGTATTGAAAGTAATGTGAGTTGAAACCAGATTATATTTAGATCTCTTATTCTTATTACTTGTTTACTCCGATTTCTTTTCTACACTCTCTTAATGACTTCTACAATTGGTATCAAAGCAAGAATCATGATGTAGTAATCTGATTTTCATATTGAATCATCAGTTTTTGAATCACGATTTGATTCAAAAGTTTTCCGCACCTTTTGGTTCTGAAAATCATCACTAATCTTCAGTTGTGATTCGATTCTGCAATTGATTTCCTTAGTCGAGTGATCAATTAAGAATGTCTAATAAATTCGTTCATTAATTTGTCAA